TATTTATCAAATTATTATTTTAAAGCATTCGAATATGATCTAACTATTTTAACCTTTTCTATTAGAAAATACAAAGAAGTTGAACATTCGCAACAAATAAAAAATATAAAGAACCAAATTGAAAGGAAAAAAAAAACATAGGTACCAAATTGTAACAAGTGTCAAATTTCGGCGACTAATTTCATCATTTGCCCTTACTTAAAACAAAAAACAGTTTCTGCTTTTAGCATTTTCTGGTTTTTAGTGTTTGACCAGACTTCTACTATTTAACAGAAGAAATAGAATAGAAGCTGGGCCAAACATGCTTAAAATGATAATTTGCTGCAATGATAAAAATGGCAGACAACAGTAGTAATTTGTGTTATGAATGCGTGATTGGCACATACAAGATAATCCAAGGACATTGTGGCAACAGAATGATGTGGCTTAAGACCAATTCGCACAATTTTAGGAGTATACCTGCGGCTATGTTCATCATGAAGACCTGAGAGTAAAAAAATTATATTCAACAAACATAACTAAGTCAAATTTAGGATCAAGTATACATTCTCATTACAAGAGAGGGTAATTCGAACATAACTAAATAGATACTATTTTTATATATAGATCCCTACATTGTTACATTCCACTCAGGATTAGGAAGGATAAAGTAGAACAAATATATGCATTAAAAGTAGGAAATGTATACTTAAAAGAAACATTTCAAATCAATTGTGACTTCAAACATTAATATCAAGTGTCTATTCCTATGAATACGTGAATAAGATGTGAATTTTTTTTTAAAATAAAAAATATATGACGCATATTAAATGGCACCAAGGAAGTACCATCCATTCACAAGATATTTACAAATTTATTAGTATATTGATGACATTCTTAAAATCTTCTAACCGACAAATATCATGATTCAAAACCAAAGAGCAAAAATAATGTAACTATTTATCCCTAATTTTAGACATCTCTCTTCTATCCCCTCAAAAGTTCTACAATTCATCTATTTCCAAATCACCTAAAAAATGTCAAATAAATAAACTTCACAAATGTTTTCTTTTAGACATCCCCTCCCAAGACCATATTTCATCTGTCACCGATCCCCCATGATTACAGGACTCTACAACTCTTTTGCATAGATAACAACCATTCACTAGTATTTTATCCTGTCTCATCAGTTTATCAATTGTCATAATATATTCTTTTCTCGCTTCCCAAGCAAAAAAAATAATTCTTGGATGAGCCTTCACTTTCCATATCTGGTTAGCAGGAAATCAAACCACCCCTTACACCTCTCTTCCAATAAGATGGTTATAAAAAGACTAAACAGTGAACTCCCCAGTCTTCTTTCATGTGATCTCCATTGTCATTTAAATGCATGGTGGACAGGACATGTAGAATGCTTCATACTCTTCGATCTCCGAATAATTGAAATGCCTGTTCACATTCACTAACCACTCTCTGCCTCCATGCCCTCTTTGTATGCTTTCTCAACATAGATATTCTTTGATTGTGCTATGACATATATCCGCGGGAAATGAAGCTTAAGACTTCCCCTTCCAATCCACTCATCCAACCAGAAAAGAATACTATTCCCCCTACACACTTGATAGTCCCAAAATGTTACCAGAACAGATTGGTGAGAAGGTGTTTCCTGTGGCTTACATAATTGACCGCTATACCTTCATGGGTTTTGGGGTTTAAAACACCGATGAGAAACTTCCTCAATTTTATCTCAATCTAAAACTGACATATAACCTCATCCCAAAGATCTACGGATGCATTGTTTTTGTCAATGTTCATAGTCAGAATAGAGAAAAGTAAGATCCAAGAGCTATTAAGTGTAAATTTGTTGGTTACTTACCAACCCAAAAGGGGTATCAGCCTTACCATCTATTTACCAAATTTGTCCCTACCAATGTTAATTTATATGACAAAAAATTATATATGTCTTTGCCCTATCTTCAAAGGGTCTCTTTATCGTCCATTGAAGGTAAGGATAAAGACCTGTTTTTTCCTGACTTACCCATCAATAAAGTTGTCCCTATATCAGTCCACCTCGTACCACCTGTAGCATCACCCCAGTCCCTATCAACATCCTCCCCCATTCACGAAGCCCATGATAGATAATAAACTTCATGATTCAATGAGATTTAACTAGGTATATTTAAGACAAAGAGACTCAACTTCTGATCCTGGTGCAAGTTGAAGACTCAAGCGAGAATGAGGTAAATGCAGGTCCAGAGCTTTCTCCTCATTAAGTACTTTATCATGATTGGAAGATACAAGAGAATACACTAAATACCCATTGTATCTATTAGTGAAGTTTGTGTCATTTGAAAATTCTCACCTTGATATAGAGCTTTCAAGTCAGTCTAAAGACCAGTCAAATTCCAAAAGACGAGATGCATGCGTTAAGAAGAACCGACGCGAGCAATTGTTGACCAACAATCTAGAGAGAAATTTGTAGGATGTAAATGAGTACTTACAACAAAGAATATGTCAAATGGCTCCCCAAAGAGATACAAGACTAGAGTCGTGGCAAAGGGATGTAAACAAACCTATAGTGGCAAAATTAAATATAGTAAGAGTTTTGTTGTCATTAGCGACAAACTTTAATTGGTATTTGAAGGAATTCAATGTAAAAAATGTTTTTCTTCACAACAATTTGGAGGCAAGAAAGCACTCAGATTTAGGGGGGAATAACAACTCTCTTGGTATATGTTGATGATATAATTATGAGAAGAAATGATGAGAAAGAGAATGAAGCATTGAGAAGATACCTATTTAGAGAATTCGAGCTAAAAGAACTTGGAGGACTAAAGAACTTTCTAGGAATTGACGTAGTTCATTTGATGGAAGACAATAAAGTTAGCATGTAAACCTATCTCCAAACTAATTGAGAAAATTACAGGAGAGGCAAATGAAGATCCAGCAATAGATAGAGAAATTGCACCAAAGACTGGTAGAAAAACTTATCCATCTTGTGCTCCTACAAGGTCAGGCACATGCCACGAGTGTGGTTAGCCAATTTATGCACACAGTTTGATAGAGGATCACCTTAATGCAGTCTACAGCATACTACATTACTTAAAGGTTAGCCCTTGCAAAAGAGTTCTATTCAAAAGGAATACTGATTAGACCTTAAACCAGACACCATTGCAAATTAAGCAGTCTACTATGGATTATTACAGTTTGCTTGGAAGCAATCTTGTGAGCTGAAGAGATAAGAAGCAGAATGTGGTTCGTAGATCAAGTAAAGCAGAATTTGGTTGCTAGATCAAGTGCAGAGGTAAAGTTCAAGTCGGTAGCACAGAAGTGTTAGAACTATTGTTGATCAAGATAATTTTAGAAGATTTAAAGGATCAAATGGGAATGGCTAATAAAATTATTTTGCAACAAGTATGCCGTTAACGTTACTCATGATCCTATACAACATGATAAAACTAAAGCACATTAAAGTAGAAAGACATATCATAAATAAAAGGCTGATAGTGAACTGATTAATACTCCATAAATCTCAACTAATGGTCAACTTCTATATGTGCTTATAAAATGACAATATTTCAAGAACTTATCTCCAACTTGGGAATGGAAGACGGGAGGGAGGGGGGCGCCGTTGAAAAACCTCTCAATGTTCCATCTCAACATTAGGAAACAAATTTTCCTTACATTATGAGATACCGATTAGAAAATCCTACTAATATGGAGAGTTGATTTGATTTGATATGATTTTATTTGATTCGTTGTAATTATTTGCCTATTATTCTCTTTGCAAAAGCTATATGTATCCATGTAAATGTTCATTCTCAGTACAAAGAAAATATCAATTTTGCTTCAATATCTTAGTTGGATGCATTCGAAGAGTCTGAAGTCCAAATTCAGTTGCCGATAATCACTAAAAAAAAGCTTAGGGATTTGAAATCGAGAAAGAATAAAATTTGACTCTATCATTTAAGTTTCTGTTAAAGAACATATTCCAAGGGATGTGAGCATCATTTTTTATGAGGATACAAATAGGAGTGCTGTAGCGTAAGGAAATGCTATAAAAGTTGTAGGACACAAGTAGCTAAAGGAATATTATCAATCTAATTATCTTCCCATAACAAAATACAGGAGTGATCACTGCCTTCAAACTATTAAAGCAGCATGATTAGGTCATAGAGCCAACAGATGACTTTCTACAGAACTTTGTTGAGTCGCGGTACTTCTGACTTTAGAATCTTTCATGCACAACTACAAATGCACTTAATTACCCTATGCCACAAAGAAAAATATTCTAGTGGAAGATGCCATAATCATTTAGTCAATAAAGACAAGCTTTTAGAAACCAAATTCCTAATTCTGATACTTCCATCCTTCCGAGAAAGATAGTTTCCATCCCATCTAACAACACAATCTCTTGAAACTTTACCCATTGCGACTAAATATAATTCATCAAGATTGTCTCAATATTCTCAGCCAGTCCCTAGGAATACTAAAGAAAGAAGGTAATACAAAAGGATGTTAGAAGAACAAGCCTGTAGAAGAGTATAAATTGCATCTCTGTTATCGAATATATAATTTTTTATCTAAGAAGATATGTTTCTTATGATCAAAAGAGAATTTCATCAATAGATTATTTGCTCCACATCCTCATTGCCTGCTTAAATAATTTGAAACAAATGCAAATAACACGGCACCAAAATAAACTACTAAACTAAACTCCAAAGATGTGAGAATATTTCATAGAACTTTGCAGAGGACAGAAAAATTTTAGAACTTAGCCTTAATCTTTTTTAACACCTTTAATTCTTTAAATTCATCAAACTATCTCTCAGCTTGGATGGTTCCCTCTGATCAGTGTAGTTCACCACATGAGTTTTACTTTTATGATAAAAAGAAATGCCTAATGTTATAGAAAAGCGTCATGTTGTAGAAAGGTAATCTCAATAAGGAGCAAGGAAGTAAGTGAGAGAAATCAGTACCAGATTTCAGAAGCCGTAACACGATTTCGTCAAGTGCAGAGTTCGAGGGGGCACATACCAGCACCCGAGTACGATACTTGCGTATGGAATTGATCACCTCTGGTTTCTACACGAGAGAATTATGTTTATGACTATATGAGATTATTTTAACACAAAGGTAGAAGTTCTCAGACGTACTAACTCATTTCCAGTTGTTGGGAAGAAACCATCATCACCATCAACAGGCATGAAAATATCTCTGGGATTATTACCATTTAGCCATGGAGATCCTCGTCTCCAATAATTTTTTCTGCCAAGTATAATATATTTTAGTAAGCTATAACAAAAAAGTTATATCAGAACCTCTTAAAACACAAAATATGTGCATATAACATTTATTGTCCTCGAAGTCACAAGTAAAAATGGGCTCTTTGGAGTCACATCGTAAGCTATGAAAGGGTGTATACATAGATTCACACATATATACATAGATTCATATATATATATAGAGGGAGAGAGAGCAATGAACATGGTTAAAGGAAGATTAAGAGCTAGCACCCAACACATACTTTTCTTCCGTGGACATTTCTGACCCAAGTCTTATCCCATATATGTCACCCCTAGAAGGAAGAAAAGATAAAAATAAGATAAAATGAGCTTGAATAGAAAATGTAAAAATGCAAATTAACTCCAGCATTTCTCAAACCGTGGTAAATATCAGCACCAGCAGCAAAATGCTCAGTCCCAACCAAGAACTACAAAATAGGGGGGAAAAAAGAAGAGGAAGAAGAAACAAGAAGCTAGAGAAAGTTTTACTTGAAATGCGCTTTTGCTGGAGTTGCATGCAAAATGGCACTGAGGAGCCCAAGAATTGTCTGCGTTTTTCCAGTTCCCGGAGGCCCCTAGAGAAGGGAGAAACAGAGAAAAAAACAAAGAAAGCAAATACAGAGATGCAAATAATTAATACCTATATAATAAAATTCCTATCATGCAATCAGATTATGCCAACATATTATGAATATAACACGAATGAAAGAGTATAGCAATATAATAAGAATTCTTGAGCAGTTTCCAATATAGAAAATATTCTTCAACTGTAACACAGTCTCCATAGGAAAGTTCTAAAAATGCAGGAATAGTGTCTTATAACAAATATTGATGTGTTTGACAGTGTGTTTTAGAGAGAGAGAACTCTTTAGGGGTGGTTAGATTGATTTTTTTCCCTTGATCAACCCAGGTTTAAGCTGATTCTAAAGGGAAAAGAAAGCTCAAGATTATTTTCCTATATTTCAAATGCCCAAAAGTCATAGGACTTGAATTAAAAAAGAAAAAGCTGGTATCACCAGCTTTTCCATGGTTTTAAGTGGCAAATACAATAGCTCTTGTAGAAATATGGAAAAAATCGACTACACATCTTTAAAATTATTACCGCATATTTTTAAGATTTATTATTGCAGATTTCTAGAAGTTATTATTGCATATTTTTATGATTTATTGCTGTAATTTTTTGGAATTATTACTATTGATTATATAGTTATTTACTCCTACAATTAAGAAGACTAAATATGGATGTAAAACTCTATAAATTCAGCATTTTGTACCTACTGAAAATAACAGAAAATAAAGGAAAAAAAACTTCTTTTTCTTATCTGCGTTCATGGTATCAGAGCCAAGTCGGCTAGCTTGAATTTTCGTTTTTAAATCCTTCTCTTTTTATCATTTTTTTTTGTGATGGTGCAAACAGCCATGCCTGGAACAGTGAGGATAAATGACATCAGTTCCATTGCCACATCTCTTGGAAATAACGCCAGGATGTTGTTACCGTCGGGATCTGTAATCCCCAACGGAATTAAAAATTCCCCAATACAATTAACCGTTCACAAACTGAGTGGAAAAACTTACCTAGACTGGATGCAATCTATTAAGTTGGTGGTCGATGGTAAAGGCAAACTTGGCTATCTCACCGGCGAGACAAAGAAGCCAGAAAATACAGATCTGACATGGCGGATTTGAAGCAAGAAAACTCCCTTGTAATGGCCTGGTTGATCAATTCCATGGAGGTTTCAATTGGGAAAACATACTTGTTTCTTCCCACTGCGAAAGAAGTGTGCGATGTTGTCCGAGAAACGTATTCAAATCTCAAAAATTCTTCACAGGATTTTGAGTTGAAAACAAGGCTTTGGCATACGAGGCAAGGTGATCGTGAGGTTTCTGAGTATTACAACGAGATGAAGGCATTATGGCAGGAACTTGATCTCTGCTATGAGGATAATTGGGCTTGTGCAATAGATAGTGCATGTTATTTGAAAAGAATGGAGAATGACCGTGGTTTTGAGTTCTTGGCAGGATTGAATAAAAGTCTTGATGAAGTTTGAGGCCAGATTCTTGGCAAAACTCCATTGCCATCAATCTGGGAAGTGTTTGCAGAAGTGCGACAAGAAGAAGGTCGACATTGAGTTAATGTAGGGGAAAAAAACTCATTTACCCCAGAAGTTTCAACCCTTGTGACCAAAAGCAATCACAATAATTCTCCATTCCAAGCACGGGCAAATAAGAAAGGAGAAAAAGTATGGTGTGATCACTGCCATAAACCACGTCATACTAGAGAAACTTGTTGGGAATTACATAAGAAACCTCCTAATTGGAAGCCAAGGACTCCCAGTCAACCAAATCGTGACCTAAAGGCCTTTCACTCCACTACCGAGCAGAATGGGAACATAGAATCTGTTGTTGCAACACCTTCATTCAGTAAGGAACAGGTAAAACAACTGTATAAACTTTTTCAATCTACACAATTCTCTAAGACTGTAGCTTCCTCTTGTTCCTTATCCCAGAAAGGTAACTACCTTCAATCTGGCATTTTTAATGTGCCAACTATTCCTCTTTACCCATGGATAATAAATTCAAGTGCCACAGATCACATAACAGGTTGTCCTAAATTGTTTTCTTCTTATAGTACTTGTGCAACCAATCAAAAAATTAAAATTGTCAATGGCTCACTCTCAATAATTGCTGGAAAATGGTCAATTATTATCTCTAATACTCTTGTTCTTCACAATATTCTTCACGTTCCAAATCTTTCTTGTAATTTTTTATCTGTCAGTAAAATAACTCGGGACTTAAAATGTTGTGCTAAATTTTTTTCAAACTACTGTAAATTTGAGGATCAAGATACAGGGATGATGATTAGCAATGATAGGGAACATGGAGGTGTCTATTACTTTGATGATGGAAATTCTTTGTGTCAACAACCAAAATCCTCAAATCTTGGAGTATGTTTTAATTCTACTAGTGATGAAATAATTGTATTGCATTATAGGTTAGGTCATCCTAACTTCCAATATTTAAAATATTTATTTGCAAACTTATTTTATAATAAAGATTTAGCATTATTGCAATGTGAAAGTTACCACTTAGTTAAACAACATCGTGCATCATTCTCTACTCAACCATATAAACCATTTATGCATTTTTTTCTCTTATTAATAGTGATTAGTGGGGACCCTATAGAACATTAACCAACTCTGAAAAAAATGGTTTATAACATTTATTGATGATCATACACGTCTAAGTTGGATTTATCTACTTAAAGAAAAATCTAAAACAAAATATGTTTTCAAAAATTTTTATACCATGGTTGAAACGCAATTTCAAACAAAAATTCAAGTGTTTCAGAGTGATAATGGAAAAGAATATTTCAATCAAATTTTAGGGTCGTTTTTCTTAGAAAAAGGAATTGTTCATCACAGCTCTTGCAATAACACTACTCAACAAAATAGGATAGCATAAAGAAAAAAAAAGCACATTTTAGAAGTAGCTAGATTTTTAATGTTTACCAATAATGTAACTAAACACTTATGGAAAGAAGCAATTCTTACTACTACATATCTAATCAACAGGATGCCATTTTGAACTTTCAGACACCTCTAACAGTTTTCAAAAAATCATTCTCAATGTCTCGATTGACTTCAGATTTATCGTTAAGGATCTTTGGATGTGTTGCATTCGTTCATATACATAATCTTAATAGAGATAAATTAGATCCACGAGCAATAAAATATGTTTCTCTAGGGTATTCTCTCACGCAAAAAAGGTATAAATGTTTTGATCCTACCAGAAAAAAATATTTTGTCATAATGAATGTTACATTCCTTAAATCACAAAACTTTTTTAGTCCTCATCATTGAGGGGAGAAAGAAAATGACGACTCGGTGTTTGAAAAAGAAAATATTTCTGATAGTTACAAAAGTAATGAAACTGCAATATTTAATTTTGATATTTTGGATAAGGAAAACATGAGACCAACCTTAATGCCTGAACACAAAAAGACACTAGTGAAATGGATTATACACACTTCGATGATGAGAGGTTGTTTGAAAAAACTTACACTAAAAGAAATCCGATTCAAAGTAAGAAAGATGTAGTTATGTCTCCTCAAAGCCAAGAATCTGATCCGATATCAGGATCTGAAGAATCAGAAACAATCTCTAAGTCTCTAGAATCTAAGTTTTTTCCCATTGAACAAGTATATTATGACCCTCTAGACTTCCCTATTACTCTTAGAAAAGGAATTCAATCACGTACTCAACACCCTTTATCAAATTTTGTATCTTATAAGAACATGTCATCTTCTTACCATACTTTTGTCTCATAGTTATCAAGTGTAGATATACCAAAATCTATACAGGAAGCACTAACGGTTCCTAAATGGAAGAAGGTTGTTCTTGAAGAAATGGAGGCTCTAGAGAAGAATGGTACGTGGGAGATGACTGGTTTGCCTAAAGGAAAACTGATTGCTGGGTGCAAGTGGGTTTTCACTGTAAAGTTCAACTCAGATGGATCATTGGAACGTTATAAAGCAAAGTTAGTAACAAAAGGATTTACACAGACATATGAAGTTGACTATCAGGAGACTTTTGCCCCTATGGCCAAACTAAATACTATTCGAGTGTTATTCTTTGTAGCTGCGAATTTAGAGTTGCCACTATTTCAATTGGATGTTAAAAATGCATTCCTCAATGGAGAACTAGAAGAGGGAGTCTATATGGATCCGCCCCGTGGCTTTGAAGAGAAGTTTAAAGGAAAAGTCTACAAGTTGAAAAAATCATTATATGGACTAAAACAGTCTCCCTGATCTTGGTTTGAGAGATTTACCAGATTTGTTAAAAAAGAAGAGTATAATTAAGGACAATCTGATCATACAATGTTTGTAAAACATACTGGTGATGGAAGGATGGCTATCTTGATTGTATACGTGGATGATATAATACTTACCGAGAATGATGATGATGAAATATATAGGTTGAAGAAACATCTTGCCTCATAATTTGAAATTAAGGATTTGGGGCCTTTACGCTACTTCCTGGGTATAGAATTTGCAAGGTCAAATATGAGAATTTCTGTATCACAAATAAAGTATGTTCTTGACTTAGTAGAGGAGACGGACATGAGTGGTTGCAAACCAAGTGATACAACCATGGACCCTAATAAGAAGTTGGGAGATGCTCTTAATGGAATCCCAGTTGATAAAGGTAGATATCAACGTCTTGTAAGAAAATTCATTTATTTGTCCCATACAAGACTTGATATCGCCTTTGTGGTTAGTGTCATGAGTCAATATATGCACTTACCTTATGAGGAACATTTGGAAGCTGCATACAAGATTCTCAAGTATTTAAAGAGTACACCTGGAAAAGGGTTGTTCAAGAAAAATATTAATAAGAGTATAGAAGTCTTACAAATGCAGATTGGGCAAGTTCAGTTTCAGATAGACGATCCACCTCTGGCTACTGTACGTTTGTATAGGGAAATTTGGTTACTTGGCGAAGTAAGAAGCAAAGTGTGGTTGCTAGAAATAGTATAGAAACTGAGCATAGAGCTATGGCAAATGGAGTTTGTGAGG